TATCTTGACGTTAGAAGGAGAGATAAAATATACAGCAACGAGAAAGCGTACATGCGTGGGGAACTTATAAAAAATCAATCACAAGCAGGACTAAAATCACAACCATCACCAACACCGTCAACTTGGTGTCCGGCGTAGGAAAATATGGGTCTAGATGCTGACTATTCTGATGAGATAAAAGGAAACAGGACATGAGCGACCAGCCGCAGGCAGAAATGAGTTCATGTCTGACGAAATTCGTAGTCAACATGACACAACAGAAGAGGGCTTCGCTTACAGCGGGTGGAAGTTTCATATTTGCTTGTTCTCTTCCCATCTTCGGAAAGAATAGTCGACAGGAGCCAGTGAGGCATGGGAACTTACCTCTAAACAACACGTTCCTTGACTGCTTGAGATACTCTGCCTCCAAATTCCCAAGAAGAACTTGTACAACAGTATGTGCAATGAATAGTTTTATACTGCGAAGTATGCAAAAATATCTGATAAATATTAGCAATGGAGATAATGAAAAGTGGCTACTGGATTAGTGGTTGTCATCAGTTCGATTAGGGTCCAATCCCAGATATAGATTTGGGCTAGCTGGTCATCGCAAACTAGAGCAAACCACCTTGCGACTCTGGCCATGGGTCCACGTGCCGTCGGCTGTTATCTGAAATACTCGGTCCACTGGTCTCTCCTGAGTGGAGGACGCGATTAGGGCGACTACGCGTATTCTCAAGCTATTTAGTTTTTTCGACAGTCCTATTAGCAGAACCTAATCACTCTAAACTTCTGGTGCTAATTTGTCCTAGTGACTTCGCTGTGCTCCATGCTAAAGGCTATTTTCATCGCTTTATACGTAAGCTCGCGTTTTATTGATCCAAGATGTACTTAAGCAGGTCCCGAGATACGAGAATAACAAAAATGCCGATGGCATCTTGCAAAGCAAGAGTCTGGCGTTCTGACTGGTTGGGAGGCCGAAAAAAGGTGATATTTCGGGAGCGCACTGGGACCTCAATGTCTTTGAAAGGGTGACAGCGCCCTTGTGAAGAAAGACACTATCCTTTTTCACAGTAAATTGTGTTTATTATGGTACTTGCTCGTCATATTTTTATTTTTACGTCACCAACTAGCCTCAACGTCATTAATCAGAAAAGTAAAATAAATCGCACTCATTCAGGTTAACTGCATGTCAAACATTGTAAAAAGGGAAACAAATCACTGCGCCTCACGCATATAATCTTGAAAAACGTTGTTGAACAACGGAAAGTTGACTGGCGCATGGAAGACAAACGGCTAAAAGAGGTTTTGTAAATGTAACTGTGATCATACCCTGAGTACTTCTACAAATTAAGTTTGCTTATTTGGCATACATTTCAGAGTTTTAGGGACTCGGGCTCTTCTGTAAAAAAGCTTTGTTGTTTTTTAATAAATGTAAAGTTCATTTCAAAGTTTTTGTGTTTTCATCTAACTGAAGGTCGTCAGACAGCAACTGGGTGTTCGGTGAATGTATGTCAGTGGATTCAGAAGCACTCAGAATTACATGTGAATACTGGCAGAAACCAGACCGAAAACATATGATAGAACGAAACCGCCCTAACTATTTCAAACACATTCAGAAACCCGATGTCTGGACTGGTAGACAATGCCTGCATTAGGGTATAATGATATGAAATTCCTGAAGAAAAAATATAAGTGAAACACACGTGACAAGGTCGATGAATAAGAGCAATGAACTGCTAACTGCAAAGAGTTAGTATATCGGCAAAAAGAGAACAGTAGCTAAGACAAACAACTAACTCACTTCAATATACCCTTGAGGTCCTTTTGGTTGATAATAAGTTGAAGCAAATTTTTGCTGGCAAACGCATGGGCTTGATCGATTTGACGCATGAACTGCTGGTCAGTTTCTGAAAAAGTAAGCTCCTCGGGGTCGCAAAACTTGATTGAATTGTCTGAAAAGAAACGAGAAGAAGAAGACTTTGCTGGCAGGTTGACATGTCACCCGGGAGACAGGCACGTAACGCTAGAAATCACAGTCAAGTCACGCAAAACAACTCACCGCACTGTTGCACGACATTCAGGTACTTTCCCGTCTTGAGAATCGTCTCTGCGCGCGCCTCTAGGAAGGCCGGCAGTTGTGTCCGCACGATCGTGTAGTTCTGATCCCAAAAGAAGGCACAGTCAATGTAGTCCTGTGCAGCGGCTACATGCGAAGGCAACGTTTCGTCACTTTTAA